TTTTCACTCTAGTTAAAGCTAAATACTAAACTACTAAAATGCTAAAGACAGCAGTCTCATATATGACTTTTGTAACACTCAGCTAATAATATAAAAACAATGGAACTATTAGGGGATTTCCAGAAGGGGAAGTTTAACTGAGGAGAAATTGGATGGGCCAGAGAATACTGGCGTCAGTCTTAGTCTCAAGAGGCTGACGTGGGTGGATTGATTATTCTGTTATGATCTTCATGTAACAGGAACCGAAATAACAGGGACTTTCTGTTAAGGGGGATGTTTACAAGAAACAACTGGTTGAATAATAGCCAAGTACAATTATATAACATGTATTATGTAATGCCTGTATGTAACCGGTGACATGTACCTCCAAAATACTGTATTTAAATGCTGTGTCTGGACCTAGCAGGCATTCTCTTTCTATCTTTCATGATTGAGAATCCTATTGCAAAAGTGTATAGTTTATCTCAAATAAATGCTTTTTACTCTTCATGGTCTCCTTGCTTTGTTCCTTTATGAGATAGAGATTTATTTTTCTCACACTCGTTGAGTACGGTTTGTCAGCCAGTTGCGAATCCATCTGGTGGTGAAGCTATCTATCCCACTTTTTTCTAGCTTACGAAGAAGTAGGTTGTGGTCTACTTTGTTGAATGCCTTGCTGAAGACTAAGTATATTATGTCCACAGTATTTCACTGGCCTACTAATTAAATCACTATGTTGAAGAATGAAATAAGATTGGTTTGGCATGATCTGTTTTTAACAAACCCATGCTGACTGCTAGTTATTACTTTATTCGTTTCTAGGTGTTCGCAGATCTGTTTTTTTATTATCTTTTCCAGTATCTTCCTGGGTATTGATGTTAGGCTGATTGGTCTGTAGTTTCCTGGATCTGTTTTACCCGCTTTTTTGAAGATGGGAACCACATCAGCTCTTTTCCAGTCCTCTGGTAGTTCCCCGGTGTTCCAGGACTTTTGAAAGATGTGGTGCAGTGATCCTGAGATGACATCTGTCAGCTCCTTTAGAACTCTGGGATGTAATCCATCAGGTCCTGGTGATTTGTATTTATCAAGATCAGACAGGTGTTCTCTTACTATTTTTTTGCTTATTTTAACTTTTGTTTCTAGTCTCTTTTTTACAGTTATGTTTCTGGTAGGTTGGGCTATAGTATCTTTTTGCATGAAGACCGATGCATAGAATGAGTTAAGCAGCTCTGCTTTCTCTCTGTTACTTGTTACTTCCTTGCCGTCTTCTCTCTTTAGTGGACCAACTGTTTCGTTGATTTTTTTCATGTTATTTATATGTTGGAAGAAACTTTTTTTTATTATCTTTGACATTTGTTGCAAGTCTTTGTTCATTTTGAGCCTTTGCTTTCCTGACTTCGTCTTTGCAGATTCTGGCTATCTGCTAATATCCTGCCTTAGTTATGTGTCCCTCTTTCCATTTTTTGTACTTGTTCTTTTTGTCTTTCAATTCGTCAGAGAGATTTTTGTGCAGCCATGCTGGTTTCTTCTTGGAATTCTTGTTTTTCTTTCTCAGCAGTATTGTGCTGGTCTGGCCTTTTATGATCATATTTTTCAGAGTTTCCCAAGCTTCTTGAGTTGTTTTTCCCTTTAGGATTTTCATCCAAGGACTCTTTCCCAAGTTCTCTCTGAGTTTATTAAAATCAGCTCTTTTAAAATCTAAGACTCTGGTATCATTATGTTCTATTGCTTGTGTTTGCGTTATGTTGAATTCTAGTATGACATGGTCACTCTCACCCAAGGTTCCTGCAGTTTCAACTCCCTCTATCATTTCTTCTCTTTTTGTAAGTATTAAGTCCAGTATGGCTCTCACTCTAGTTCCCTCCTCTACCTTTTGGACAACAAAGTTGTCAGCTAGTTTGGTTAGGAACCTATTTGATTTCTCACTTGGTGTTTAATTAGTTTTCCAATTGATATCAGGGTAATTGAAGTCCCCCATTACTATTGTAGTGTATTTCCTACATATGTTTGTTAGTTGGTTGGCAAAAAGGATATCTATTTTTTCTGCTTGATTGGGTGGCCTATAGTCACCTATGGCCATGTCATTCTTTTATGACTACACATGCATTCTAGGAGGTTTTCGTCTTTGGCTTCATGCAATTCTGTAACAATATAGTGGTCCTTTACATACAGTGCAACTCCACCTCCTCTTTTATGGGATCTGTTGTTTTTTTGGAAGAGTTTGTATCCTTCTATCAGTATGTTCCAGTTGTGGGTTTTGTCCCACCAAGTTTCTGTTATTCCAACTATGTCGTATCTACCTTTGTGCATTAATAGTTCAAGTTCACCCTGTTTGTTGCCCAGACTTTGTGTATTTGTATATAGGCACTTGAGATCTTTATGCCTCACTCTGGGTATGCTTCCTATGTCTCCTCTTTGGTGTTTGAGTTTCTCTTCCTTCCCATCCCTCCTTACTTTGTTATTTGCCTTGCTTTCTAGGGTTTTTTGCTTGGAATTAGGTTCTGGAGAACCTAAAGACTGGTCACCCTCACCCCCTCAATTTAGTTTAAAGCCCTCCTGATAAGTTCAACCAGTCATTTTCTGAAAATATTCTTCCCAGTCTTTGTGAGGTGCAACCCATCCCTTGCCAAAAGCCCATCATAGAGATAGTGCAGACCATGGTCCAGGAATCCAAAGGTTTTTTGGTGACACCAACCCTTTAGCCAGTGGTTCACTTCTAGAATTCTTTGTTCTCTTACCGGATGTTGTCCTTTCATTGGCAGTACAGATGAAAAAACTGCTTGTGTACCTAAGTCCTTGACTTTCTTGCCTAGCTGCTCGTAATCACTCAATATTGTTTTTAATTCCTTTTTTGTTTTTGTTTTTTTGTTTTTTTATAAATTTTATTTTATTTTTGTTACATAGACAACATAATCACATAACAATAGAAAAAGAAAGGCAAAGGGAAAAGAAAAAAAAACCCACACACAGAAAAAAAAAGAAAAAGAAAAAGAAAAAAACCCATCATCCCATACAGTATGTCATTTG